CAATAACAGATATATGGAAATCAGCTATTTAATAATCTAAAGTTAAATAAAGTATAATGAATTCCTAGTACTCACTAACTGAAAAAAATATATGCAAAAAGGACAAAGCTGTGATGATGTTAGCTGGAGACCAAAAGCTAAGATTTCTTTGGCATTTCCTGTGCAATCAACATCTAAGAGAATAGCTGATATTGTGTTTTGAGGAAGTCCTCAAAACAATCAGTGCCCACTGCTTTTAGAGCATGCACATGTTGGGGCTTTGTTGCTGAAAATTATCTGTTGGATATTTTCACAAGGTCTACAAAGTGAAAAATAACTTTAAGCAAATAGGCCACTGTTGGACTTATACATTATTACTGGCTTTATGATGCAATGAAAGACATTTAATCAAATATTTACAGAACTTCCCAGTACATGACTACATATCAAAACAGATTATTCAGAATGTACAGAGAATTATATAATCAAGCATGCACATATCATGTATCCCTACTAGCACACACAATCAAAAAAATATAAAAATCAAAAACAAGTTTCTAACAAGCACCCAGATATTCATACCTACATGTACAAAGATGTTCCCTACCACATTTTCACAATTCTGTTGGCTGGTTAATTGTTTGCAATAGCTAGCATTAAAACTAATTTAATTTTCATTAAAAGGTAGAGATAACACTGATTAAACTGAATCACATTATCAGAAATAAGCTGTGATTGATAAGTAAACTTAATTCCAAATCCCAAGTATTACTTTTTAATTTTTCAGGTACCTTCAGCATTCAAAGCAAAATCTTCATTGACGTCATGTGGTATTTGAGCACTTCATGTTGTTCAAGGTTCTTCAGCATAAGGAAACATCTACGGAACAAATTGGGAAAATCAACAGTATTGCATGGAAGCTCATTCACCTGTTAATGTGATCATGCATCCATGTGCTTGCATGCATACATATATGAGTACTGTATGAGTGTTTGTGTGCTTAGGTAACTGAACAGTGTGCATGCACAGATCCATATATAATGTGGTGTACACAAAGATGTTTAATTGTGTGTGCTTGAGTGTATTTTACTGTTAGCTTTTAACATGAAAATTCTGCATTTCACACTTGCCATATGATACTCTTTTCTCACTATTTGGCCATTTTTCATGCAAAATTATCTCTAAGACTCACAAATTCTTACAAGTTAATACTGAATTCATAATCCAATTTCTATGATATCAATAAAGTTGCACACTTCTTGTTTTCATAAACTTTGAGGTGGAAGAAAGAAGGAAAAACATTGTACAATAAATATAACAACTATCATGACATTTACACAAAATGTCATCCACCAAATCAAGTCTATGATTATCACAAAAAAATATACTTTTAACATCAAATAATGCACAGAACAAAAAAAAAAAATTAAAATCAAGTATACAATATTGCAGATACAGAAATAACACATAAGAAGTATAGTTCAATAGAAGGTGAATTATGCTAAATGCATATCAAGATCAACAAAACAGTCATGAAATTATTTCCTAGTGACAATACAGATATTAATACTATTCTATAAAATAATATAGTATACAGTGCATACTCATATATCATCACATGCAGTTCATAACATAAAAGTTAGATAACTATACATTTTGATCTATTATACAAATGAAAATGCTTTCCTAAAGACAATCTCTAAAGGCAAGATGGAGCACCTTTTATTTTTCCTCTATATACAAAATACTGTAAGGTCTACACCATGAGTACATCGTATTTGTATTGACAACCTGTAAATATGTATTACTACTGCGGCAAACTATTGACCATATAAGATATAACTCATGGCTACCGGCAGACACTCAACACCAAGTATGGCACCAGCTAATCAAAAGCAGTAGCCACAATTTCTTGTGTATAAAGAAAAACAAACTTAATTTGAAACCAGATTCAGATCACCTTATCAGATCATTGTTGTCAGCTTAGAGAAACCCTAATCAACAAATGCTTTATGAATGTTCTATCTCCAAAATTATTAATAAATAAATGAATAAAACACAACTATATACAGGTCATATTGAAAACAAAGGGTAAAAATAAAAAAATTAACATTTCCAAACCAATAAACAAAAACAAAAATAATAACATTAAACAAATGCATAACTCCATTCACATTTCATTCATAGTATTCAGTAACTGTCATCTCAAAATATCATAGCATTTCTAAGGCTTAACTAAACTAGCCATAATTTCAGCCTAAGTTTGTCTTCGGCAGTGACTAGACGTAAATACAGTTCTTAACAGAATCAGATGGTCTAACATGTATGAATAAATAGCTTCAAGATCTAAGCATCAACTTACAATATCAAAAGCCTCTAATTTTCTATATCACTACTATGTAATATGCAAAAATTAGTCTTCTATTATATATACTTTTATACAGATTCCTTGCAGGTTAAATTTCTATTTCACATAAAAAAAGAGGACAAAGGAAAAAGAACACCTTATCATATACATTCATTCCATTCTAATCCCGAACAGTATTGAGGATCAGCTAGATGCCATTATATTGATAGAGTAAATAGTCACATTAAAGCTAACCAAACCAAAGTTAGCTGACATGATATGTAGACCAGACTTGCATCAATGAAGTCTAAATGATTATTAATAATATTTTCCCCTTCAGATCCATTTTATTGTCTGATTGAAATATTGCTATTTTCAGAGCATGTGCATCAATCACATGTTGGCTCATCTTGATCTCTAATTGACATCTGATCAAAAACAATAAAAAATGTAGTCAGAAGAACATCAGTATTACCAGTCATAATGCTAAATTGTACTTTTGATATATTGATTTTTTAACTTATGTTATTCTAGTCAGAGGCTGATAGTGTTATCTATCTTACCGGACATCTTTTTCCCAGAAAAACATAAAAACCATCCTGATATGCTTTTTCACTTTAAAATAAAATAAAGACAAAGATTTAAGACACAGCCAGTCTACTAAGCAATACAAGCATCTTGTCCATACAGTTAACAATAGGCCATGATAAGAAAAACAATATCATTTCAGTTCCTTTCATAACCTAAGTTATCAAAAGATATTCTATGATGAAATATGTAACCATACACATGCTTCACTTTGTCCAGTTTCATGAAGTTAACTTTATCTGACAAGGTAAGTAATACCTTTTCTCAAGATCAGGTTTTAATTCCTTTTGAATTATTCCAACATGATTATTTTTTTCAAATTAGAACATTAGAATGAGTATGGACAAGACCAATGAAAACTCAACAGTTGGTCAGATTTCAACTGTGGAGCAAGAATTAGGATGATTGGGTATGATCATATATAAAATGGAAGCAGAGAAGGCAAGATGTTGACCACAGATGAAAAACAGTAAGATTTGCATTCACAAACACTTTCCTGGGGAGAAACAGAAAGTAATCATGTATTGGTATGATTAAAATACAGATGTGTAAAAAATGTGCATGAGAATGAGAATGTGAAAGATTGAGACTGAATCTGATACTGTAATTCAGTTACTGAGACACACTAAGATTATGAACAAGGGAGAGAAAGAGAGGCAAAGATAGACAAATAGGCTGCAGGTCTATTTTTTGTTATAGAAGGAAAATAAGTTTTTTTTTCTGTATTTGTTGTTGAGTGTACTCACATAAAAGATAATAATATCATCATAGATTATGGATATATGATTTTTTCTTTTACTTAAGTATGCAAGTCTAATTCATTCTTAGAATTTTTATATGAAACTTGATTTAAGCTTATAACAAATAATGGAATTCATGAAATCTTATGTGAACCACAATTTTTTTCTATAATTGAACCCAAATATGCATGCCTAAATAATATACCATATCTGGGATTAAAAACAAATTACACTGTTGAAAAATAAACAGAATTATGTGAGTAATTCCAAATAGAAACCATACCAACACATCAAAATGCGAACACCAGCACTTCTAGGGAAAAGCACAAGAAGATTCAGGAAGATGGTGGAGGATATGGCTGAAGTCGAGGTGGCACGGAATAGTTCTCGTGAAGACTGGGATGCGTATTTTCTATATCACCTATGTATATATTAGTTGGTGTGTAGGTGTTAAGTCATCACCAGAAGTGTTGAGGGTGAAGCTTGAGGGTGGTGACAGTGGAGTGAGTGGGGTAGAAGTTGACTTGGGAGGTATAGGTGGTGGTGGGGAGTGCGGTGGTTACGCGGTGAGAGCAACGGAGGGGTGCCAGGGGTGGAGGCAGGAAAGCCGTTACTGAGGCCACCGCCGCTACTGCTGCTTCCATCCACACCATCACCCAGGAGCTGATCAGACCCAAACATGGCAGGGCGACGAGCACTGTACAAAGTTATGTTGTGGTGGTAAATAACAATGGAGGGGAAAGGAAAATGTGCATACTGTACTTCAGAATACTATGAATGAATTCCATTTCTGTCACAAACTACATGGCCTGCACTCCAGCAATCTCTATGTACAGTTAATCTAAAAAAACACACTGATTGCAAATAGGCCTCAAGCAACATTTCTGTCACAAATTACATGAAGCTAAAAAAGTATAATTTCTTGTAGCACCATCATACAATGAAAACAGTTATCAGGAGCTTCTTTCCTACATCAACTACATCACTCAGACAAGCTATTGATCTTGTCTCCCATGTTGAAACTGGCAGCACGTACCTTCTTGCCCATCCTCTTGGGGAGCACTGGAGGAGGAGCGTCTTCCTCCCCCCCAAGGCTAACTGAGCGAGTCTGTCTTTCGTTTCCTGCAAAATGATCTATGTAAAGTAACATAAATAGTCTTCTCATTTTACCTTCATGGCATATTTGTGGCAGTTCACAAATATGCCAAAGAAAAAGTTTAAAATATTCAGCAAACCTATATTTTCACTGTCAACCATTTTTAGGAACAAGTATCTCTTTATTTCAATGATGGTTACAAATAAATTATTATACAAATTCATAATAGACAAAAAAAACACAGTGACAATTACTGCAACACCTGCATCTGGTGTAGTCTTTTACAGTCATGGATGAAGACACAAGTTCTTTTGTCCTATTGTCATGTTCTGTTAGAGAAATTATACTTGTCCTATTGTCATGTTCTGTTAGAGAAATTATACTTGTCCTATTGTCATTTTCCACATCATATTAATGTTAATTTGGCTTCACATAATAATTTTCATGTAGCCTCAGATTTGAGATGTGCTTTATCCCTGACTTAACCTCAATTGGATAAATGAAAGCTGTCATCCATGGCACTTATTTCTAACAAAAGAGGCCTTCTGACTGACATTAGGAGCATTATTATATATGGAGGTAAACAAATTAATTCTTTAACATTATTCATGAGAGGCTTCTGAGATGAGAACCACAAGGATGATGAGATTCCCATAATGAGGAAGAGAAGTAAAAAGGTTTAAGCTCTCTAAGAGATCCAGAAAAATGACACAGAAAATAGTAAGTAATAATTTTTGGAATGAAGAAAAACAACTTACTATAAAATCTCAGATCAGGTGAGTTGCATCTAGATAACTTGTAAAAAAGAAGACTTCACTCAATTTGTGAAAAGCTTATATGGCATTTCAGGGGATAAATTCCAGAAGCAATTCAGACTATCTGCCTCCCCAATTACTTAATATGACATATAATGAAAATCAAGTTTGTAGTTCTATAGCCTCATTTGCAGTATTTTCCTGTTTTCTAGAGAATTGCAAAAAAGGTATCTTGGGCTGATAGTAGAATCTTTATATCATATAAAAGTACATGATAATTTTCTATGATGTGCATTCTATCATTTACGCCCACTATATACAGCACTTCTTGATCTTGTTTTCAGTCTCCTATTGCCGCATATATTTGCTACTGAACAGGTAAATGTCTCCACACATCTTTTCAAGAATGAGACTTCACCAGACATACATGCAGCAGTTTCTCAAAAAATAACAAGAACTGAATTTGCACAAAAAATTATCTAAAACGAATACTGACACGATCGTACCTCTTGGTGGGAGGGGGGAAGAGATTCTTGTGATCCATGAGAATCGCTCCATGAAGTGTTGAGTGAGTCATGAGTACCGGAGATTCTAGCTGAATGAGGGCTTGGTGGACGAGAGTGGCGAGACCGTCTGTTTTCATCAGAACTGCTAAAAAAAGAATTTGTTTATAAAAAAGATCAACATTAATGACAGTTAACTATAGCAGAGAAAAGACAAATAGCAGAGGTTAATGTTGACTAAAATATAAACCTACATAAGAATAATAACATTAACAACAAGAACCACAACCACAACTGCAACCACAACAATAATAATAACAACTATTATCATAATTATCATTATTATTTTTATTATTTTTATTATTATTATTATTATTTTATTATTATTATTATTATAATCTTTATTATCATTATTATAATCATAATAGTTATAATAATAGCACTTATAAAAATAACTACAATAATAGCTAACCTTTTCTGAGAAGGTACAATCATATAATCATTGTTGAGGGACTTGGAGAGAGACTTCGGGGAGGAGCCTCTGCTATCCGTAATGAAGGCAGATCGGGGCCGTGAGTCGCGCATGCTGGCAACTCCCTCGTCCCATTCCTGATGAAAGTTGAATCAGCGATTTAAATGGGAGAAGGAATGGAAAAAGAAAGACATAAGGGACAGGAATATTTAGATTATATGATACACCCTGCACAACTCCACAATAAAGAGGATTATGTTACCTGAGGCTTGGCATATAATTCATCATCATGAGAAGCTGAGTGGAAATGAGCATATAGTGAAGATGCCTGCGATGATCTCTGCGAGGAGTGGCCGGATGTGGAGGAAGAACTTACACTAACAGCACACTTATCAGATGGCAGTGGTGGCAAAGGGGAGCTGAAACGAGAAGCTCTAAATCAGGAATGTAGAAGAAAATTTTCTGATCATTTATCTATCAATGAGTTCATTTCTAACCATTCTGGCCTCCTGGTAGTGGTACAAACTAAGTTTTCAAAATAATGGGGAACAGTGCTTTTTTTCTATCCACATAGCCATCACATATATGGCTACATGCTGACTCAGGGAACTTCTTGTAGAAATGAATCCCAATCAGTTTCTTACATGACTTCTAGGAACCAATATTTTCCAATGTTGTGCCTCCAGACTTGAGTCTCTAATATTCTATCCTTACACAAATTCCAACGACTTATCTCTCTGTGGTTCAGTATAGCAGTATGACATGAACACCTTATCCCAAAGCCCATAAAGCTTAAAGAGGGGTGGATACATGGTGCACATAATTTAAATCATATCCACCCCTCATACTGTGAATACGTCCAGTTGATGGATGTAGAAACAGACAATGCACCAATTAGAAAAAAAATATAAAGAAAGCAATATGGAAGAAAAATAAACTGTAAGTGACTGATTTGAGGTGATTTCACTGATTCTGAATATTTCACATTTCAATCCACAAAATAAAAGTAAGCCAGAACTATGGGTGTGGTTGCCTAATACCACATATGAATATATCAGCTTCAAAGAATACTAGTGATTCTAAGTCTCAAATGAAAATGGTTCATTGAAAAATAATTAAAATGTTAGTCTTTCCATTTTTGTCAAAATAACATGTACTCTGAGAATGATGTCTACAAAAATATGTATAAAATACTGCCTTCCATACTTGATAATTGATCCCGTTCTCCTGAACTCTGTAGCAGGGTCAGAGTCTGCCCTCCTGTGGGTTGGAGGAGGCGGGGGAGTTGACTGGAGAGAAGAGGTCGATCGTTGGACTGGGGTGTTGAGCACATCTTCCGTACTTTTGCTCGTAAACCTTCAAAAACCTGCAAAAAGTTTATTTCAATGATTTACATTCATCTACATAATAAAGAATTGTCTTTTTGTGTTTCTTTTCAGTACCTTAAAACTGTAGCAAATAGCAACACAGCATATTAAAATGTTAAGTATATCAACTTTACTATCAATCCCTAACATTTGGTTAAATGATGAAAGATTTCCCATTGCTACCGAGATCTTAAAAATACTTTCAAAAATAACTAAAATAAAATCAACACATCTATATGAAAGATAACTGTTTTGATACAATACCTCTACTAATCTTCTATGAAGAGGCTGATTAGCAGGCGGTGCAATCTTTCCATGGAGTTCAAGCGCTCCCTCTAAGATCATGGTCTGTAAGGATGCTTTGTCTCAGCTAATTCATTTTGACAGGAACAATAATAATTACATAATTTTCATAAACATAGAAAAGTATGCAAGAGGAGGCTATGGTAATTTCTAAGGTACAACTCAACCTTCTACTGTATATTCCAATTTCTGGATTTGGATAAAATCATATTCAAATTATAGAACTACAGTAGTATCAAATCCAACATATTATATTGCATATATACCTGCATACTACACTGATATAATAGCTAAGTGGCATAAGTGTAAGTGTCAGTGAGTGAGTGAGTGAGTGAGTGAGTGAGTGAGTGAGTGAGTGAGTGAGGGGAATAGGGGAATAGGGGAATAGGGGAATAGAGGAATAGAGGAATAGAGGAATAGAGGAATAGAGAAATAGAGAAATAGAGGAATAGAGGAATAGAGGAATAGAGGAATAGAGGAATAGGGGAATAGGGGAATAGGGGAATAGGGGAATAGGGAATAGGGAATAGGGAAAGGGAAACGGGAACAGGCGAACATGGGAATGGGGGACAGAGGAACAGGGGAACGGGAAGGCGGGGGGCTGGGGAACTGGGGAACGGGACAGGGGAACGGGAGAACAGGGAAATAGAGGTAGAGGAAGAGGAAGAGGAAGAGGAAGAGGAAGAGGAAGAGAGGGAGGGAGGTAGGGAATGAGAGAGAGGGAGAGAGGGAAAGGAGGAAGGAGGAAGAAGGGAGGGCAGGAAGGAAGAAGGAAAGGAAGCAGGAAGGGAAGGAGGATGGTGGAAAGGAAGGAGGGAAAGAGGAAGGAGGGAGGGAAGGAGGAAAGGAGGAAGGAGGGAGGGAAGGAGAAAGGAGGGAAGGAGGGAAGGAGAAAAGAGAGAGGGAAGGAGGAAGGAGGAAGGAAGGAGGAAGGAAGGAGGAAGGAAGGTGGGAGGGAAGAAGGAAGGAGGGGAGGGAGGGAGAGAGGAGAGAGAAAGGGAGGGAGAGAGGGAGAGAGAAAGGGAGGGAGGGAGGGAGGAAAGAGGGAAGAAAGGAAGGAAGGAAAGAGAGAAGGAAGGAAAGAGAGAAGGAAGGAAACAGGGAAGAAAGTAAACAGGGAAGAAGGGAAAGAGGAAGGAAGGGGGAGAGAGAAAAAGTGAGAGAGAGAAAAAAAAAAACTGAGTGAGTGAGTGAGTGAGTGAGTGAATGGCACACTCAGTTAGTTCATGATTATCTCTATGATGACCTACATGTTAAAAGAGAGGTACTACTGAGGCAGAAAGTTCTATATTTTAGTACCAGTATTTTCAATCCTACTCTATTTGCACTGACTGGATTAATTAATTCCTCTCCAGATAATAGTAAGTAGTATGGCTGCCATTCTCCTAAAGACAATCAGTGAGAGGTTGATATTTAGTGCTAGCATCTAGGAAGGTCCTCTCAATGAGTCACAATAACAATAATAATAATCAATAACCATAATTATTATGATAATAATTATGTTCATCATAATCATAATAATGATGATACTGATAATAACAATAATAATAAAAATAACAATAATAAAAAATAAATAATAATAATAATAATAATAATAATAATAATAATATATAATAATAATAATAATAATAATAATAATAAAATAATAATAATAAATAATAATAATAATAATGATAAAAGATAATGATAATAGGAGTAATATTAATAATAGTAAAATTAATAGTAATAATAATTGATAATGATAATAATAATAACAATAACAATAACAATAACAATAACAATAATAAGAATAATCATCATAATCATAATCATAATCATAATCATAATCATAATCATAATCATAATCATAATCATAATCATAATCATAATCATAATCATAATCATAATCATAATCATAATCATAATCATAACATAATAATAATAATAATAATAATAATAATAATAATAATAATAATAATAATAATAATAATAATAATAATAATAATAATAATAATAATAATAATAATAATAGTAGTAGTAATAATAGTAATAATAGTAATAATAGTAATAATAGTAATAATAGTAATAATAGTAATAACAGTAATAATAATATCAATAATATCAATAATATCATTAATAACTATAATGATAATAACTATATGATAATAATATAATATAATAATAAAATAATAACAATAATAACATAATTAATAACAATAAATAATAAATAATAATAATACATAATAATAATAAAAATAATAACAATAATAACAATAACAATAATAACAATAACAATGATAACTATAATGATAATAACTATAATGATAATAACTATAATGATAATAACTATAATAATAATAATAATAATAATAATAATAATAATAATAACAATAATTATAATAACAATAATTATAATAACAATAATTATAAATAATAATAATAACAATAATAATAATAACAATAATAATAATAACAATAATAATAATAACAATAATATAAAACAATAATAATAACAACAATAATAATAACAATAACGAGTAACAATAATAAGAAAAAGATGAAGAAGAGGAAGAATATTAATAATATTAATAATAACAATAACAATAACAAAATAATAATAACAATAACAATAATAAAAAAAAATATATATATATATAATATAATATATAAATATATATATATATATATATATATATATATATATATATATATAATATATATATAATATACATGTATATATATATATATATAATATATATATATATATATATATATATATATATATATATATATATATATTTATATAATAATAATAACAATAATAATAATAATAATAATAATAATATAATAATAATAATAATAATAATATTAATAACAACAACAATGATAATAATATCAATGATAATAATAATAATGATAATAATAATAATGATAATAATATTAATAATAATAACAAAAACAACAACAACAACAACAAACAACAACAACAACAAAACAACAACAATAATAATGATGATATAATAATAATAATAATAATAATAATAATAATAATAATATAATAATAATAATAATAATAATAATAATAATAATAATAATAATAATAATAATAATAATAATAATAATAATAACAAATAATAATATAATAATAATAATAATAATAATAATAATAATAATAATAATAATAATAATATAAAATAATAATAATAATAATAATAATAATAATATATATAATAATAATAAATAATAATAATAATAATAATATAATAATAATATAATAATAATAATAATAATAATAATAATAATAATAATATAATAATATAATAACAAACAATAATAATAATAATGATAACAACAAAATAATAATAATAAATTATAATAATAATAATAATAATAATATAATAATAATAATAATAATAATAATAATAATAATAATAATAATAATAATAATAATAATAATAATAATAACAATAACAATAACAATAACAATAACAATAACAATAACAATAATAACAATAAAACAATAATAATTACAATAAAACAATGATAATTACAATAAAACAATAATAATTACAATAAAACAATAATGATAATATAACAATAATAATAACAATAAAAACGATAATAATAATAATATAATCCCAATAACAATAACGATCATCATAAATTTCTCTCACCTGATCTGATATGAGGACCTTGAGTCTATTAACGTGATCTGCGTACTCAGGATACACAACCAAGTAGTCAGGCCCAAAGAAGGCATCCTGGTACTTTGCAATCCCTCCATTAACAGCTGCATCAATGGTGCCTTGAAGCCTCATTGTGAAGGCTGAATGTTATCCTATGTGGGGAAAATTGTTTGCTTTGATACTTGATGTTACTAACAGACGTGGGAAGAATCCAGGAGAATTTTGATGAAGATTTCGTATTCTAGTTGCAATAAGATTATAAATGCAGTCACATAAAGTACTGCTGGAATTTCTCAAATTGTAAAAAGAAAAAATATGCATTCTAGATTTGGAGTATATACAGACAATGCACTATTAATCTAAACACAATATAATTTGAATGAAAAGCTTAAGCAGCTAGATATAAAAAAAACGTCTGTTACACCATCAAATATATGTAAATAAAACTAATTATCCATCAAATACTAGATGATCACATATTGCTATTATGTGAATATGATATGATACTAAACCACATAGATACAGTACAAAGTCAAGTGCAGTGTCAGTAATATCTAGTTGAAAACGAATCCCAATATTTATTACAAACAATTAGACATTATAAACATAAGAAACCAGGGATGTTGGCTACATAAAATGAGATTAACAATCTGTGCAATATTCAAGGCTATAAATCATGTGATTAATAATCTGTGCCAAATCTAACAGAAATTACAATATCCATAATCTGAAACAAGTACCTACTATATCGTAAACTGTTAATGATAACCACTCAAACTTGTTAGAAAGTCATAATTACACTGATGAAATATTTACAATACATACATAAGCAGAGGAGTGATCTTAATGGAGAAGACTTCCACATTATCAATAAACAGACTGAGGTAACTGTGATTCCTTTTCCATACATACCTGAGGGTTGGCACGATAGTGCTGCATAACTTGGCGAATCTGTTTGTTATTGCGTTCCACAGTTTCACAAGCATACTGAGGTGGACACAACTGTTCTATCCTTTGTTCAACTACTTCAAACCACTTGAGGATACCAGGCAGCTCACATTCAGTTGTGTAGGTAGTTCTCTCGATCCATAAGTTCTGGCATTCATTTGTAAAGATTAGTTATGGTGGAGACTGTTCATGAAAGAACTATAGTAAAACTATATTTACTGGCACATACCACTGAACACTAAAAATTATTTTCACTCAAATTTAAATTTGAATTTCTACATCAAAATGTATAAACATGAAAACTATATTTCTCATTACACCCAACACTCTAAAGCTGAAAAATTTCTTCTTCTTACCTTGAACTCATTTTCTTTATCTGCCGGTCCACGGTACGTAGGCCGGTCATACACAAAGTGGCGGACATGGTTCACAGTGTAATATTTGAGAATTCTTTCATCAACTTCAATGCCTCAAACTTGGGATTTGGCTCTGGGACTGCCTTCACCGCACAGATCTGTATGAATCAATTAAACACTGCAGTTTGGGAAACTGACTGTGACCTTGTCTTAGTCTGAGTCTCTATCTGTCTGCCTCTGTCTGTTTGTGTCTGTCTATGACTGCATTTTGTATATGCACACCCTTTTGTATATGTGCAGGCATATGCAAATGTAGTTATATATATATATATTATATATATATATATATATATATATATATATATATATATATATATATATATATATATATATATATATATATAATATATATATATATATATATATAATTATATATATATATATATATATATGCATGCATGCATGCATATACATATATATATACATAAATACTTGTATACATATATTTATATACATATATACACATATATACATATATACACATATATACATATACACAAATATATATACATACATGTTTTATATATGTCTATAGTGTGTACATATATGTTTATATATGTATATATATATGCATACATATGTATAAACACACACACACACACACACACACACACACACACACACACACACACACACACACACACACACACACACACACACACACACACACACACACACATACACACACACACACACACACAACACACACACACGCGCGCACACACACAACACGCACACACGCACACACGCACACACGCACTCACGCACGCACGCAGAGAGCCATATAGATATATATATGTACATGTATCTGGCTTATCTGTGATCCAATACAAAATCTATCAATTAAACGAATAACTTCAATGGATGTTATCACTTGATGTAAAATCCTCAAAGATTATAACAATCTATTCAATAGGAACAAAATGCCCAATTGTAAATGGCATTATCAATCTACTGAAGAGCATTTTTGTAAAGCTGGTGGATGAAGTTGTGAAAGGCATTTGAAATATCACAAAAAAAAAAAAAATTCAGAGAGGATTACTTTGAATATCCACTACTTCTAAACTGGGTTATAAGCAACACTCCTGAGGAAAAAAGTAGAAATGATAACACACAATTCCAGCAAAACAACAGTTCCGACTTTATTATGATCAAAATTTGGAGAATTTTCATAACAGAACTGCTGTAAAATATCTGATTTAGGAAATACTTCAAAATGATAGAAAGCAAAGAATAGCTCTTATGAAAAGTGAAAAATTAGTATTAATTGTGTTATCTTTTTAATACAGGAAAAATATCAAATGTATATACTTCATTTCAACTAATAATATATGTTACATACAGCTGGAAATTTATGCTCTTACATTAATCTCATCTACATTTTATAGGTTGGAGTAGTCCGAAAACAAAAAAAAGAATATAGAAGAAAAAAAGGCCACCAAAATTGTCAAAAGTTCATTGCCTTTGACCCATTGATGCTGGCAAGGTATGTACGCACATATGCCCACTGTGATTTTAAGTCATTCCTTTTGTCTCAACATAGATAGATCCACAAGAGCTAATCATGAAGTACTACCTTGTCTATTCACCCTATGCCTGTATGATTGTCATGATTCTATCCTTTCTTATTTTTTTGCTATCAGTGTTGCTGGTAACATTAGAATAACCATAATGTCAATAACAATAATAACAATAACAGTATTGATATTAATAGCATTAGCAAAAATAATCAGGTGAAGTCACATAAGCCTGCTCATCATTGAGTTCATGGTGTCTGAGTACTTGTGGAGCCATCTGTGTGCAAACAAAATTCATAAAATAAAACTACTGTGCACAGTACATGTACTCATTAGTAATGGGTGAAATATAGGAAGTTTAGAAGTATAAAATTTTTGATTCAGAGTCTGATTGGTTCTACTGCAATTTCACATCTTTATAGAGGTTTAAAGTTGTTTTTCTTCAAAACTATTAGGTGATAAAAGATATTTTACCAAAAACTGTTTTACATAGAAATATAAATAACTGCTGATATCATCAGTAATTTTCACCCTTGCAAGCTGCAGGTTACATACATGGACTACTCTACTATATTTTTGCTTGATTTAAACTCCCTATACTTCCTAGAACCACAAATCCAAATGTTAAAAAAATGATTTCATTAAAAGTACCATCATTCTGGAGCTTCTATGGGGTTCAGTGTGCTCTGTTATGTGTTTTGATGGATACGCAGCAGCTTGTTATGTAAAGGTAGTAAAGTGACAACCAGCACACTGGGATTAAAGTATGACAGAAAATTTTACACTCTTGCTTGGTGACATTTAATCATGTCATGGTGAAAATTCCTTCACTCTAGATGACATCTAGTTATGTGATGAGCCCTGGTCCCAGTGGCTGGGATGATGCCTCAGGAGCCTAGTTATGAACAAAACAACAGCTCACATGGGGAGCAGCACATGCTAACACACCCTAAGCCTTGCCAAACTTTACTCAAAATCTTGTCTATCATGAATGGGTGAATTCATATTACAAAATAATGTTTAACAGTTTGGCCTTCTTGGCACTTCAAGTGCAAAACACTCAAGCATCTTTGCTGTGATCTCCCTATATAGCATCATTTTCCCGATTACTTGCTACTCAAGAAGTTCTACAGGGAGTCTCAAAAGACTTGAGAAAGGTCACTTCCACAAAACAATTTGTAAAACTCTATGCTATTGGATGCCACTTGGGAAAACAAACTACTAAATACATTTCTAGTCTAAGCAGCAATATTACTAGCACATAAGAGGAGTGGCTTGTTTGGCCCATTGACTGCAAGGCATAATGCACTAGACAAGAGGTGTCTTAAAGATCTAGGCTGCAAAAGTGCACATTTTACAGGGTCACTTTCAATTTTAGTTACAGACTTTGTTGCTTGGCTGGAGCATGGCTGACAAGAGATTATAGCTCTCTTGGATACCATTGGATACTGTAAATGTTGAATAAAATGTGTAAAAAATAAATCACAAAACATATCATACGGAGTAAAAGTAATAAAATTGAGAAACACAGAGAAAAAACATTTTAAAATTCTTAAGAGAAACCAACTTAAATTTACCTGGATATACTGTCCATCAGATGAGCGGATAGTATCATCAGGAGGAGTATTGTGGTGCAGCATTTTAGCCTGAGGAAATTCCGTCTGAATCCTCTGGGTGAAAGCCACAATCTGCTCATACTCTAATCCACGGTAAATGAAAACTTTATTCTGAAAAGGGAAAATCATTATCATCATTTTATATTATCATCGATCATGCTTGTAATCACTTTTATTCACACAAACCAAAAGTGAAAGTATGAAACATTTAGCTCCAACAAATAAATTTCAAGACTGATGGATACCACAACCAAGTCAGTCTAGAGCTGAATCAGAGAGGCACTATGCAGAAAACTTACCCGCACAAAAGAGGAAGACCCAGGCCATAGAATCCAACACGGAAATATTCATTATCATATCTCTTGCCACTAAGTATTTTCTCATAGAATGAAGCTTGACGTTTTAATACCTCACTTAGTCTCTGATAATCAAACAATCTGGTTTTGTACTGTCCTGCTAATTCTTCAAGAAGGGGAATGCCTTGCTCCCAGCACTGAAAGATATAGACAATATAAATATCCAACTGTTCTTATGTAAATAACAAATTTAAATTAAAAGAATTGTCTGACCTTTCTCAAACTATAATTCTCAAGACTTTTCTTAGGTAAGTATATCTTTGTCTGATTATTTTATGATGTCCAATAAATTGAAGTTAATCTGTATCTCCATACCTTGCCCTTGTCAAAGTAATCTATAATTTTCATATAAATTAGCTCTTTTCGCTGAGTTTCCGTCTGTGCTTGATATAAGTGATCTGCATGCAGCATCCTCTGTGTCCATGAGAGCTGATCTGCATGCAGCTGCAGAGTGAAGGCAGCTTCTGTGTAATTGCCTGCTGGGAGGTGGAGATCATGGAGCTTGTAGATGTACCGAATGTACATTTCTTGTCGATTAATTTCATTCTTATAGAAGTTCTGAAAATGTGTGAAGGAAATTAATTACCGTTTCTGAAAAAAAATCCTGATTACAGTATACAGTATACCAATCTTATTGACATATGTGCAATCTTCAAATATTTGTGATGGTAACAGCAAACCCAAAATTAGGGTATAAGCCTTAAAAATATCATTCATTCTGAGTTTCTTCTAGGCAGTTATACTTGCGACCTTTTAATTTTATTATTTTATTTTCAAAATACACTAAGTGGGAAAAAATACTGCTCTATCATTACTGATAAATCACAATTAATTACCAACAAGTTAACTGTGCAACTCATTCGCTTGTCACAGTTTTCATCCCCCTGCATCACACTGCGGTAGTCTAACAGCCTTTCTAAGAGCCTTGTAACAGAGTTGATAAAAGCTGTTCCACTCTCTCTCCATACTGGGTCATTTGAACGTACACGCTCCAAAAGTCTGTCAGAAATAGAGTAGGTATGAGACAAACCTGTTCAGACTGGCTATACATCAACTACATTTACTGTGCACCTAGAATGTCATGCAAAAAAAAGGAAAAGGATCACAAAAAAAATCAACACTATACAAGAAAAAGTTGTGAAATAACCACACATATAGGAACAGTTCTCACAGGAATCCATATGAACATACAGATTTATAGCTTATTAATCTATAATGACTTTAAGACAGACCTGACTTGGAATGCACTGTCACTTGTCTTGTAAAAATAACAACTATCTAGATCCTTGTACTGAAATTATTTATGACAACCATTATTCATGCCTTCCTTAAATATATTTTATGGGGAGGGAGGATTTAGGAAAATCAATGTGATTCCTGAGCAACATATCTACAACTTGAAATGCTGAGAAAGCTATTAATTCATATCTACACAAATCAGAATAATGTTCTTACAATACTAAGACAGAACTGATAAATGAATGAATAACAGGCAATCAGAACATGAAAATCATACAAATAGATAAAACAAGCAATAAACCAGACTTCAAAATCTACTGATGAAAGAGTATTTGCTAAAATTACAAAAAAAACATCATTTGTTAACTTACACAGCACTTAAATGTTCCCTAAAAGATATAGCATGGAAAAAAATAATATTGATATTATGAAAGTATTTACAAAGCATTCAGAACATATTACAACCTTTTTTACAATATTTTCTCTTAACTAGTAAATGATACTACTTCTTTATATAAAACAAAAATATATCAGCTTCCTAAGTATTAACTCCTTTGAAATATTTCTCTGCATTCCCAAAGATGTTTATTTCTAATATCAAACATCTTAAATCATAAATTCAAGAAGTTAACAACATAATATAACATCAAATACAAAAATATACTTACATCGTATTAAAAAGTTGACGGTATTCATCGTCACCCTTGTTTTCGCTTACCAATATATCAAGCTTATCTATAAGTTCCGTCTCAACCTAAAAGAGAAAAAATTATTAATAAGTAATACTTCTCAAAAATCAAAGATCTCCCAAAAAATAAACAAGCAGTTTGTCTCAGCCAAGTTACAGATACTCCACTCCTTATCTTCAATTGTCATATAGCTTGGTCATATGCTCCTGATGTTGGTAACCATCCAAGCATGTTATTCTTTAATCAGAAATTTAAACTATTCATGCTAGGTGACATATGATATTCACTTATTCCCATCTATTCCCAGCAAAATTTAAGTTTTACTGTTATCAAATCAAGAATGTTTGTTAGAATACAAAAATAGAAAAATTGTATGTTCATTGGGGATTAAATATTGGTTAACAAAGATTTCTGACTGTGCAAACCATTTTTTTTTTTTTTTTCTTTCTTTTAACAATCCTCAGCCTTAATATAAGCTAAGATCACTATATGGTTTCAAAATTGTAGATAACAAATTTGTAGATTCTAACCTGTTTGAAATTGCCTTTTGCTTGTTGTTCTGCCTGCATCATGTCAAAGAATATGGCAGTGTTGCTTTGCGCAGTTCTGGCTCCGGCACCAGTGTCACCTCCAGGAACGGGCCCACCATGCCAGGTATGAAGTGCAGCCGGTGCTCATCTGAAGAAGGATGAAGAGGGATGATGCAAGATATTCTCCCCCCCAAAAAAAAAATCCAGTTCTATGACATAAAAGTTTCTAAACATAAATTCAAACAAGATGCCAAATCTTATGTAATTCTTACTATGACTTGACTGAATACAATGAGGGTCCATAATGATCAAGGTCACTCAAAAACCAAGCCATGCTTATTCATTAAATATGAATAAAACAAAAATATTTCTCTTTCAAACTAGAACACTCCTCACCCAAATTATGCCACATGGAAAGTATCTGGAAGCCATAAGGACTCTCATGTCATTGTATCTTTCCAAAACCTTGTGACGTTTCTGCTGTGAGAAGTGCTCCAACTGGAGGCAAGGCTGCGTCAAGAATCCAACAGCTAGATTCAGGTAATTACTCCAAACCTGAAAAAAATATAATGTATAAAATCTTCTCCGTTTGTACCTATCAATACCATCATAATTATTAGTTTTTTATCTATTATCTTTTTTTATTTTAATTTCTAACAATCTTTATTGCCAGTACTATAATTATAATCACTATCATTACTATCATAATCAATACTGCTATTTTCACTAATATGTGGTCCTTATCACTGACACAGTTATCCTGATCTCATTGCAATTTCATAATCATTTTTATTATGATAATTGTCAGTAATGTCATTATCATTTTATCATCAAAATTTAGAATATTAAAAAAGCAGAGGAAAAACTTTCCTTTAAGCTTTTATACTAAAGAAGAAAAAGAAATGAAATTTAAAAAAAACACTAACCTGGTTGTCAAATCTTCCCGACTTCAAAAATGTTGAAATCAGTGGCTGTGCAATCTCCTGCATAGCTGTCAATATAGTGTGGTTGGTAACCATGCGCATGACAAACCAGTCACTTGGAAACACCGCTGCTCTCACAAGGTCTGCCAGCAGCACGATGGTCGAGTATAGAAGGTGGCGCAGATGATGGGTGCCGGAGATCAAGTGTTCCTCCCATAGCTTGGTGTAGTGTATCTCGGACATAAGCTGCAGAATGCCCATTAAGCATGCTACTAAGTTCCCTGCAGACACAAAATAAGTCAGATTATTATTTCTGAACACCTTTGGAGTATCATTTTGATAAACACAAGTTGTACTTCAAAGGATATCTCTAAACTTGTTGTTCATTTTTGGCAAAAGTAACCAGTATTTTCCAACAAATATTGCACCATTATTTGCCTGGTACATTAGCTCTTTAGTTTTATGGGTTTTTTTGTTTTTTTATTAGGACAGTAAACCACCTTACAGCATCATTCTGCAGTAACATATCCTTATACATTCCTAAAAAAGAAATACATACAAAAGAGTTAAACACAATCTTTAAACAGGAAATGGCCTGTTACTTTCAGTCACAGTTTTTCCCCAAAGCATGGGTTAAATGGTTGTGCAGTAAAGAGAGGTGAAAGGGGGATTTCAAGATGCTGGATGTGTTTAGAAAACATAACCAGTAATAAGAACCAAAAGCTAATTACCATTCCATTTACCCACCCAAAACACTTGGGACTGTATGAGTGGTTGATGTACACAATGCTTTGATCTGTCCTAAATGGTAATATCACTGCCTACCTTCAGGTGTTGTGTTTTCTACCAATCAAATTATCTATTCTATTCTTGTACACTTACTTGTATGCAAATGTCATCTTTATGATACATAAAAACTGAAAAGCTTAAAACACTTACTCCTTTCCAGTCTTTATCCCTCTAAGGATTACCTTTCTGCTATCTGTGCATACATAATGTCACCAACCAAATTTGTAATAATTTGCATACATATTAACCCAATGCAGACAGGGATGGCACTATGTACATGCCATGCCCACTGTGAGTTTAGTTTATCAATTGTCTTTATACAGTTCCTTAGTCACCAAGGTGTGAATTATATTCTTTTACCATATATTATTTTTTGTAATGTTAATACGGTTATAATTACAATGTCTATATTAATAATAACATCAATATTGTAACATTAGTAAAAAAATAATAATCACAAAAAATCAAGGAAAGGGAAAATCTGGGGAGGTCATGAAGTCTACTAAATGACTCCTTGGCAGCTAAGCCCTTGTGAAGCCATCTATGCATAGACATTTTACAAAACAAAACTACAGTGAACATTCCCTTTTCCTGGCAGCATTGGATTAAGGATTACTAAAATGAAAAAAAAATGATCAGTCAAAATAGATTTTTAACTTTAACTGAAACGACTGAACATGTAGAAAAAATAATAATAAAATAAAATTTCATTGTCATAAATTCACAACTTTAATGCCTCCATTTTAAAACAATGTTCATAGTACCATTCAATACACTTTATGACTTACAATAAATAACTTGTTCCTGCACTTTTCTCCTAAGACTACTGGAAACACTGCAAACATGTACACTACTCATGAAGTACATAATAATTTGATTGATGTGATTTTCTTGTACATCAGATTTTTGCCTTGAAATCTCTCTTTGAATCCCAACTATTTCTTGATACTTTATTCCTCCAACCAATGAACTTCTCTAATCTTTTCCTGACAAATGGAATCTATTCAGACCATGAAGCAATGAGCCTATGTGCTGGATGACAAATGACAAGTGTGTTCATTTTGTGCACACTTGGTATTATCTTGTTTGGCCCTTTCTGTGATCATTGAAGAGAAACAGCCTATCAAAATAGGCTTAAATATACTTTATTTAATGGTTGTCAAATTATTTTTACATATAGCATAAGATTAGATTTTGTCTTCTTTATTTCCTTTAACCCACCCACAATGGTCCATTTGGAGATCTTTCCTCCAGGTGTCCCATATGTGTGACACCTGCCGTAAGTGGGTTATGCTTACAAGGTCAATATAAGAGCTAACATTATTAGTCACAGATATCCCTGAATTAATCTACTTTCATGTCTTTTGCACCTATTTATTGCTCAATTCTTATCTTTAGCAAGTTAGACTTTTTTAACTTTCACTATTTCAACTCTCTTTTTCCTTTCTTTGGTTAATTCCCTTTCAGAAAATGATCATATATCCCTTTTTCAATTAATTCCCCCCAAAAAACTAGAAAGTATTATTCCATTAATTCCCTTTACAATTCCCAAAATAGAAAACTTAACTAGAGTCCATAATTTTCCAGTCCACAAAATTTATATGAAATCTATATCAAGAGTGTTAATATTTCTTTTGTAGTGATTTAATCACAATATAGTCA